TTTGAAGCATGCCTGTTGATATTATAGGTTGCAAGCATATAGAAAGTCTGTGATGTATCTTAAGTTGTGTAAGTGTTGAGATTGCTTGATTGAGTTTGTGAACAAATGTTTTCCAAAGTATATACTATAGTACTTTACAGGGTTGAGTGTGGTTATACTTAGCTTCGTGCTAACGGGTGTTTTCCTACTTGTCTACGTGTTGTTTTGTAAAACCCCTTTCAAGTGGGCCCAGCGTTTGAGAGATGATCGAGTTAGACTAGTCTAGTAGATCTAGTAGTCTAAACTCTCTTTATTTTTATGTTGTTCTTTCGATGGATTGTAGACTTTGATGTTTATGTTTGATGTTAGACATCGGGGTGTTTTTCCCCCAAAATGACTTTTAAGTTAAGTAATTCGAATGTTAGTTTGGTTTAATGATTTAGTTCCATCCTTAGCCTGTGCAATCACCGTGGAGAGGTGATTGTGGCGGTGACATTCCCACTAGTTTATTATTTAAGTTATTTATCTGTTGCTTAGTTTATCTTGATTTTGGTATTAGAACTGTAATTAAGTTTAAGAAAAGTGGGGTGTTACAGGTAGGTCCATCAGTTCAAAAGCACCGGCTAGAGCTGTCGAAACGGGCCGGCGAAGCGGGGCCCGCCAAAGCCAGCTAAAGCCCGGCATATGGCAGGGGCGGGCTAAAAAACACGCCAAAATACGGGCCTAATGAGAGAAGGCCCGCCCCGCCCCGCCTTAAGCCCGCGGTCCTTGGCGAGGGCCCGCCAAATTTTAAAATTTTAAATTTTAATAAAAATTAATTAAAAAAAAAATCAATAAGTATACTAAAATAATTTGAATAATTTAAACATATATTAATGCATTTGTAATTTTTTAAACACAGTAATAACTAATAAATAATCAAATACATAATATGTTAATCCATAAGTCAATAACAAATCATTTATACAATATAATGATTTTTTAAACTTAGTTATATATATATATATATATATATATATATATATATATATATATATATATATATATATATATATATATATATATATATATATATATGACTTGGTCGGCCCCCGCCGGCCCGTCAAACCCGCCCCGCCAAAGCCCGCGGGTTAGGTGGGGGCGGACTAAAAAGCCCGTCAAAATACGGGCTCAAAATATCAAAGCCATTTTGACGGCTCTAGCACCGGCAGCCCGTTGGACGTCGTCGGGAAGAGCCGCAACCGCCGTAAGCGGAGCTGGACTCAACGGGACAGCGGCCTCCTCCGTAAGGAGACTAGGTTGAGAAGAAGATGGAGAGCTAGGCGAAGCGTCTAAACGGCGGGGAGAAGAAGGAGGAGACGAAGACATAGCGAAGTAGGAAGGAGTACCAACTTGAGAAACGCGCCGGAGAAGCAAACTGAAGAAGGAAAACTCTACGAATTACGTTGGAGAAAGATTAGTAGAACAGATTGAAGTGCGGGGGTTTGATTTTTTTTGGAAAATGTGGTGAAATGCTAAGGAGGGAAAGAAGAAGTTTCGTAAAGAAAGAAAAAGTCCCCAGATGGAGACACGTGGCTGAGATCTTACGATCAGGAGAAGGTGACGATTGGTGTGAAGTAATGTGATGGTACGGTCATTTAATACGCCTCGAAAAGTGGAACGACAGCTGGCGAAGGGACGTCTAGGGTTGACTCAAACGACGGAGAGAGACGCGTAGGATTTGCGTCCGGAGAAATTCGCGATGACCCGGCATGCGATGCGGCCAGCCCATCTAGCATTGAGGCCGACACCAAGAGTCTAACCGAGGAGGTCCGCCCACTCATTCATTGGGCCAACCACTCAGCGTTAGACATTGGGCGGTCAGCCCATCTAGCATTGAGGCCGATACAGTGAGTCTAACTGAGGAGGTCCGCTCACTCATTTGTTGGGTCGACCACTCAGCATTGGACATTGGGCAGTCAGCTCATTTAGCAATGAGGCCGCTACCAAGAGTCTACCCGAGGAGGTCTACCCACTCATTCGTTGGGCCGACCACTCAGTGTTGGACATTGGATGGTCAACCCATCTAGCATTAAAGCCGACAGCAAGAGTCTAACCGAGGAGGCCCGCCCACTCAGTGTTGGACATTGGGCGGTCAGCCCAACTAGGGATGGAGACAACTGGAGTCATTATGATAAAGCAAAACAACAATGGTCATAAATTCCATTTATTGAAGGAGAACATCGGGCATACAAAGCAAACAAAATAAAACGAACACATGAGATGCAAGAATCAGGGATCTGCCTTCTTCTCAGTCGGACAGTTGGGACGCTCGACCACTGGTGGCGGAAGACCTTCAAGAAGAAGCACCAGAGGAGATGGAGTCAGAACTGGGGCTGGATCTGGTAGCTCGATCACATAGACCGGCGTCACCCCATCATCGATCATCTGGAGGGGAACCTCAAGGGCACTCGGAGACATTACCACGCCGAATAGAGGAGGAGCCACCCATTCCGCCTCCTCGCTTATTGGCAGCTCATCCACGAGCAGTTCAACTCGACAGTCGACGAGAGTGACAGGCACCACGTCTAACATATCCGGCGAGAGTACGATGGGGTCTGAATAAGAGTCCCTCACCTCATGACCACCATGGGCTAGCCTCCGCTGTCTTAACATCTCGCGCCGGGCTTGCTCCTCCAAGCGACGAGAAGAACGTCGGTCACCATTTCTGTTGCTCATGGTAAGGGAAAGGTCAATGAAGAAAGGATAATGAGGTGCAATTAGAAGATAAGGCAAATATCCCATTCATAGGGAAAGCAGATCAGTTTTCAAGGAGAAAATCAAGGAGGCAAAATCGGGAAATTACCATTTTTGAGTAGGCACGCAGAGAAAGGGATTAATCGAAGCGAGAATCTTTGTCAGTAAGAAGTCCCCATCAATCCAATCTTGGTAAGAAAGATTCCTGCCTTGGACAGAAATCAAATCTCCCATAGATATGGAAAGATACCAACATAAGACAAGTTGTCGGATCATGGGAGCCATCATGAGATGCGCGAAAAAGGCACTCAGACCCCCGGAGGAGGAGGTCGCGCACAGTCAATCATACCTAGAAAAGAGAAGAGAATGAACGACTCCCCGGTCGTATCTAAGGGAAGGGAGTCGGCGCCTTATGCCCATGCAAAGCGTAGAAAGAGCGTCCGAGAATGCATTTGGAAGGCAATATTAAAAGAAAAAAGAAAAGGACAGCAAATCAAGAAAAAAGGAGAATCATATTTTATTAAAAGGGAGGGCGTATAAACATAACAAACACTCGGGGAGGCCTAGTAACGGCAACCCAACGACCCTTAACCTTAATAGCCCCATTATTTCACATTGATATTTGTATTTAAATTAACGAAGGGTGACTACCTATAAATATGCCCCCTTAGAGAGTGTAAAGGTAAGTTTTTTGAGCCAGAAAGCCACCGGACAGTTTAGACAATACAAGCAAAATTCATAATCATCTCTCCTCTAATAGTTTTTATTTTACCGGTGAATCCACCAACCACGGTTGTGTTGCAATCGTTATACCCTGCACCACGGCGCACATAGCACTGTGCGCCCCCGCGTCTCCCAAAACGACGTCGTTTTGGTAAGTTATGTAGGGAGTTGACGTGATTATGTATATTTGTTTATACAATTATGTGTATTTGTTTATACAATTATGTATATTTTTTATACAATTATGTACATTTTTTTATACAATTATGTACAGCCGAAACAGAAAATTTATGTGTATTATGTTAAGAGTTTATGTGTATTATGTTAAGAGTTTATGTATATTATGTATTATGTTAGATTATGTGTATTATTATTATTATTATTTTTTAAAGTATGTGTATTTTGTTATACAATTATGTACATTCATGTATACAATTATGTGTATTGTAGTATAAAATTATGTACATTTTTTAACATGAATTTTTTTTTAAAAAAAAAAAAAAGAAAATTAACCGCCAACACAGGGTAGCGAAATTTAAAAAAAAAAAAAAAAAACTGAAACGACGTCGTTATGCATCAGGGCGGACAATGCGGTGCGCGCCCTGGTGCACGATATAAATTACCGTTGTGTTGGACCTCCTTGAGCCCGAAAACCCTAAAACCAACAATAATATTAGAAAATACAGTCAATACAACTCAACTCTTCAATTGCACTATATAATATTTGATATTATAATTTATACAATTGTATATCTAAATATTCTTAAAATATTATAACAAATTCATCCCTTGCATCACGAATGAAAATACTAGTAAAAGAATAAAGCCCCAACTTTATTAATGAGAATAATATTAGTATGGAACTATTAGACAACCCAGCTAAGTTGGTTAAATGGTTAGCTTGGATTTTACAAGTTTACAAGGTTACACGTCTCGGAGACTTGGATCGGGCAAATTATGCTGTGCATCCGTATGCACCATGCATGGTGCATACGGATGTAAAAACGACCTCGTTTTAATAAAATGCGAGTCTCACCTTAAAAAAAAAAATCAGGTTCGATTCCCAGCAAAAACATATGAACTAAAATTTTAGAATCGTTGGACTATAATTCCATAATCGATGAACTATAATTCCATAATCGATGAACTATAATTCCATAATCTAATCTATGAACTAAAAATTCCAGAATGAATGAACTAAAATTCCAGAATCTATGAACTAAAATTTCAGAATCGATGAACTACAATTCCAGAATCGATGAACTATAATTCCAGAATCAATGAACTATAATTCCATAATCTATGAACTAAAATTTCATAATGAATGAACAACATAATGTTGTTGCTAGGAATCGAACCTGAATTTTTTTTTTTAAGGGGAAACGCGTGTTTTTAATAAAACGACGTCGTTTTTGCATCCGTAACATAACTATTCCTCGGATCGGTGGCGACTCAGAGTGAGTTACCCGGTTACTAAAATAAAAATAAAAATTATTAGTAAAAAAAGAAAAAAATCGTATTGGACATTTAATGAATCCTACATGACCGCCCGTGACTGTTACACCCCTCCTCACATAAGCAATCTCGATACGAGTCGTCGTTCTCCTGGTGCTCAAGCTTTTTTAGAAGTACGATTGGGTTATCAGTCATCGGATCATTCGGAAAACGTCGAATCTGAATAATTGATCCGATTCAATATTCGGTGTTCTCAGGTAAGCACTTTTGGTTATTTTTTACATGTATTTTGAGATCGGCGCGTTGATTGAGCTGATCGGAGTGAATCTGTTGATTTCTATTGCAGGAAATCGGAATTTTTATTCAATTTACTAGGGAACGTTATAATTCACCATGTTTACGCGAATCTTCGGGAAACCTAAACAGGAAACAAATGCTCTAGCCACACTTGACAAGTTGAATGAGGTATGATTTTAATATTCTAGTGTTTTTTTTTTTTTTTTAATCAAACGGTGTTTTTTGTTTGTATTCTCTAATATTTATTATTATTATTATTATTATTGAAAATTCCATTTGTTTGTCGATAGATAGTCCATTTTGATGGAAAACTTTGTTAAAGAGTAATTGTTTGTTGAGAGGATCTTATTTGACATTACGGCATTTGGAATTGAAAATAATAATTCAGGTTTTTAATACTTACATTAGTGCCTAGTAGTGGAATATAATTTTTTTCTCATGGTCTGAGGGAATTGAATTCCTCATAGTCTCAATTAATGGAATAGCTGTAATGCATAAAGTAATTCCAGAGGATGAAGGATCAAAATAATCATATGTTGCAATATGCATTTTGGTTTTCTTATCGACATACTTTTTGGATAAATAGGAAGTTTGCTATGCCGGTAAAGGTGGTGAATGATAATATGAAAGATATTATCATTTCTCAACCAAACTACTGCATCTTATTGTTTTTGAGCCTAAAGTCTAAACAAATTGGTCTACTAATTCACTTCAGTTTCAGGACAGTGTAGGCTAGGGAATTATTTTATGGAAGCATAATTTGTTTAAACCTTCCTTCAAACAGTGGATTGTACTATCCTATGGAAAGAATTGCTGCAGTGATTTTAGACTAGCTGGTGTTTTAGCTCTACTACCTTTTCCATTTCTTATTGTGTCACATGCTGCAATTTCATGCATAAAAAATGCGTATCAGACTATCAGTTCCTTGTCTGTTCGTTCCCTAGTGGTAACATAGAAATTAAGTGATGGTTCAAGACAGATTGGGGATTATTCTTATCTAGTTTATTAAATTTTTACTCCGTAGTATATTGTCGTTGTTGTCATCATCATCATTAGTGTTATTAATATCTTGTTTCATTTTTGTGGTATTTTCCTCGTAAACTCATTTATCATTCATTCCCTGGCGTAAACAAAAACACTTTTTTTTTTTTGGTGCTCCCTTGAATCTTTCATATAATACTTATGCCATTTTCTAATATTCTCTATCATTCTATCAGCTGGACAAGTTTGGTGTGCTTTTCCAACCAAGTAAATTTTATTCATGTGAAAATCATTTGCATTCTAGGTGTCATTATTTCATCTCTTAAAGCCTTAGCTTCATTACTAACCATTATTTTGTTGTGCTGAGCAGACCCTTGAGATGTTAGAGAAAAAGGAGAAAGTTCTACAGAAGAAAGCTGCTGCTGAAGTTGAAAAGGCAAAGGAGTTTACTAGAGCTAAAAACAAAAGGGGTATGACTTCTGTGTAACTACTTCTGGGAAAGCTTATTGGAAATACTTTTCTTCTTCTTAATGGAATTTGCATTGTATTTTAATTAAAAATGTTGATATTAATAGTATGATTTGTTAGATGCTCTTTACTCTGGGAATTTATTGATTGATATTTGATCATGCGTTTGTGACGGGAACTGTTAACAATATCGTATTTCAACCATATTATTCATCCATTCATCTTTGTTATGATAATGTTATGTTCAGTAAACACTTTTAAGTGACCCTATGTGGAACGTAAATTTTTTGTTTTGTCAAGCCCATTGGTAAGGGATATCATGAAAATTTTCTTTGTTTAAGCAAAATGCTATTGTTGGTTTATGTGAATCTTGCTTACCTTATCTATCTAGTGTCTTTGGATATAATAGGATGAATTTTCAACCTTAATTCTTTTTGCAGCTGCAATTCAATGTCTTAAAAGGAAAAGGCTTTATGAACAACAAATTGAACAGCTTGGTAACTTCCAATTACGCATTCATGATCAGGTGTGCTTCATATTTTCCGGATCAGCATTCTTTTCTATGTGTTGTACATTTCATGAAGAGTTAGTGTAAGAACTGTCTAATTTTGAATTTCAGATGATAATGCTAGAAGGTGCAAAAGCCACAACAGAGACTGTTGATGCTTTGAGAACTGGAGCAGCCGCAATGAAAGCCATGCAAAAGGCAACGTAAGTTATATTTGCAGCACATTCTATTTTGGTTTTTCCCCTTTATTCTGGTGGCCTTGTATCGCACTGTTGACAAACCTTGCACTCCATTTAGCCTTGTATCGCACTGTTGACAAACTTTAGAAGACAAATTTCTTGTGATTTGATTGAGTTATTACATAATATTTTTATAATTACAAATGGTGGTGATTGAGAAGTTCGCAACATTTAGCCATGAGGCTTGGCACTGATTTTGAAGAATAGATACATAATTGTGGTTCAGTGTCAAAAATGCTATGGTAATTTATGTATTACCTTCAAATGGGCCTTTGGTGTTGTTTGAAGGGTAAGGGAGAAACTCATTATGCATTAGGGCATCCTCAATAGTTGAAAATTTTGAGGAGATTTTACAGGTGTGATTAGGAAAGAGAAAATGGGAGAGAAGAAAAAAAGAAAAGAAAAAAAAAACAAAACAAAAATCTGGAAATAAAAAAAAAAAAAACAAAAAAAATAAATAAATTACGCGCCCAGGCGGGCGCGTGCAGCCTGGGCGCGAGAGTTGCGCCTCACGCAACATGAGGCGCAACTCTCCACTTTTTGGGGGGACCCACCATGCCTGCCAAAATCTCTATTTTGCAGGAGCAAAATCTCCATAAAATTTGGTACTCCCCTTTGTTAAAATTAACACAATAAACTTTTACTGTTCCAAAATTTGACAAAGAACCCCCTTGTGGGGGATGCCCTTAGTATCAATCTCTGGTAATTTCATTGCTGTCAAATATCTGTGTCTGAGTGCATGTTTTTTGCCCTCTCATTTTGTTGTCAAATTACTTGTTTGCTCCAGGAATATTGATGATGTAGACAAAACGATGGATGAAATTAATGAGCAGACGGAGAATATGAAACAGATTCAGGAGGCACTGTCTACACCAATTGGAGCAGCAGCTGATTTCGATGAGGTACACATTTTTGCCCTCTAGGTTGTGCATATGTGTGTTTGATTACAGAATAATAAGTAATGTTTTTATCAGGATGAATTGGAGGCAGAACTTGAGGAGCTAGAAGAAGCTGAATTGGAGGAACAGCTTCTTCAACCTGCCACCACAGCACCTGCTGCACCAATTCATGTACCAGCTGGTAGGCAACCCGAACGACATGCTCCTCGAAAGAACACCGCTGAGGAAGATGAGCTCGCTGCTTTGCAGGCAGAAATGGCTCTTTAGAAAGGTCATTTCCTACTACCTTTTTCTATTGTCATACTCATTATACTGTAGAGTAGATTTAATTACTGTTAGCTAATTAACCAGCTTGCTTGGCGTGACTGGCCACGCAATCTCATGCCTTAAGAGAGGTCTGGAGTTCAAACCCCTTCTTTTATGGAAAAACCAATTTGGCCAGCACTTTGCCCCTTAATTGGGCCGGCCTGGTGCGAACGGGGATTAGTCTGAGTATGGTATGGGCTTAAAGATGCCTCTTACGGCACTTTGTGGTCTAACCAAAATAAAATTACTGTTAGCTAATTAAACTTGTGAACTTCCTTTATTGGTGCTTGAGTTTCTTTTTAAAGGTTGGGTGCAGTTCATGTTTACAAATAATGGCAACAATTAACTTCATGCACTTAGTTGTGCTTTATACTCACACAATAAAACAGACAAAACTGAGTTCAAATGTGAGCCATTCTTGCTTTATGTCTTCTAAGAGATTCTATTTGGAATTAATTGTTGTCTGAGGGCCAGATCTAATTTTGGGGTGAAAGCATTTTTATTTTTTAGATTTGAAGCTATGAGAATGTTTAGGCATAACCATTGCATAGCCCACATTGGGGCATGAAGAAGAATTGTTGTAAGTTGGACGAACAAACTATTGCTTCTATACAAATACAATAATATTTAACCAAATGACGTCCAAATCCATGTAGCGTAATTAAGTCCTAAGAGCTCATCTTCGGTTTGGTGGTAGTGGTGGAGATGGCGGTGAATTTATCTTATGACAATGCTAGAGCCTAGATGCCTCTACATCTGTCACCCACAAAATAGACACTAGCTTATGTGACAAATTTTAATAGGTTGACATTTGAAATAAAAAAAAGAAAAAAAAAAAAGAAAAAACAAACCTATTAGAACTTGCCATATGGCTTTGTTCGTTACTAGTAGATGTACGGGAATTTAGCATTTTCCTTTCACTAATTTCCTAAGTTGGTGTATAAAGTTCACAATTCATTGTTCCTTTTGATGCCTCCTGCAGTTTATGATTCTTGAGGAGAGATTGTGTGACGGATCGGATGGTAGTCTAAGGTCGACAATGCTGCTTGCTGTATCTTTACCCTTCGATCTTTAAGATTTCGTGATGTGCATTTGGAAAATAACTGTATTGTAACTGTATAGATGGCATCAAACAATCTGTATTTCGTTGTGTTGCAGTTTAAAAAAAAGAAATATTGCTGCTCTATTATTCTTGGAGATGAATTAACTTTGCACAATTCTATACGATTTTGTTTTTGACTATTAAAAAAAAAAAAAAAAAACCCATATGCAGCCCTCTTTTCTCCCTTTGTCTACCCATTCTTTGCGAGCAATAGAGGGATAGAGATCCGTTAATGGCTTCTATAATGTTTATGTACAACTACATTAAAATAAGAAGGCAATCCTTGTACGGGAGGGAAAGGAGAACGGTAGACAAGCCTAGAGCTCAATAGTTAAATAAGAAACAAGTGGCCAATGTAATCTTTAGTGGGTGGAATCCCACAAAGAAAGGATGGCATATATATATGATATATGTGGGATTTGTGAGTAACCCAACCAAGTTGGTAAAACAACAAATGAAGCCCATTGTATTTACCAATGAAGATTTGCCTACAGGAGGGGCTGTCCATCAAGATGTGTTAGGGTGTGTTTTGTTTTACATGGAATTGGAATTAGAATGGAATCAAATATTTGGTAATGATAATTAATTTTGGTGAAAGTATTTTACATGTTTGGTAGTAAGGTGGAAATGTAATGATTACTAATATTGATGTTTGGTTATGTATGATCTTATAATGAGAATAAAAGTTTAAAAATTACAAAAATAAAAAAATCAAAGCAATTGATCCTAATATAATTACATCCAAAACACTAATATGAACAAAAAAAATCAAAACAAATCTCATAATTGTGTTATTAATTAGGGAGGAAGGATAAATGATACCCGTTTTTAATTAAGGAATGAGTTTTTAATTAAATGAGTAATCAAATTCATAGTTGTATTTTAAAAAGTTACAATTAAATAATAACTATGATTTTGATTTTCATTTTTAATATTTAAACCCATGAACTTATGAACGTCAACAACTCTATTGTCTAAAAAGAAGAATGTTAGTGGACACAAATAGCATCGTGATTCGTGAATGTAATGTATCATGATTTTTTTTTAAAATTGGGACTTGCAGTGAATCAGCTACAACTAGGTGGGACCCCATTTTCAGAGGTCATGGTCTCATGGATGACATCACTGAAGCAAAAGGGTTGATACGGATGAGTGTTTGGTTCAGGTCATTTTATATTATCTAAGTAATTTGAATCTGATAAAATTGTATTTTTGGTTCAAGTAATGAGATTATTTTGTAATTTTATATTACTTAAAAATGAATGTGGCGATAATGTGATTACCACCATTTTATTAGGTAATCTTAGATTACCTATATATTTTTTTTTTTTTGAAAGTTACTGGCTCTATTACATTGTAGTATCTGTTCATATACTTTCTCAACCTACTAAAACACAAAGAATCAATAACGCCACCACTGAGGCTTGAACTCATAATCTTCCAAATGAAAGTCCAACCCGGATACCATTAGACCACATAGTCCTGGTTATAATCAAATATATATTTGTGTATATTTATATATTTAGTTTGTCAAACATCTTGTACTTAGATGACATGTAGTGATCTCTCTCATGGGAAGTCATGAGATTGAACCTCAATGGAGGCATTGTTGACTCTTTGTGCTTTATTAGGTTGAGAACAGATATTACAATGTAATAGAGTCAGTAACATACAATATATATATATATATATATATATATATATATATATATATATATATATATTGAGGACATTATATAACCCTTAACCAAACAAGGTAATATTATATTACATAATCCAAACCAAACACATAAGGTAATGTTACATTTTCAAAATCTCACATTACCTTCATGGAGGTAATCCTATTAACTGGATGGGGTAATCCAAGATTCCGTGAATACAGCAGAGTGTTATGCTGTGCTACAGTATGCATCATGCATGGTGCACACGATTGCAAAAATGATGTCGTTTTGACGTCCGACTTTAAAAAAAAAATCAGTTTCGATTGCCGTTAACGGCGTTATGTTGTGCATAATTTGAACTATATAGTTCATTCATTCTGAATATATAGTTAATTTATTCTTGATATATAGTTTAAATTATACACAATATAACACCGTTAAAGGCAATCGAAATTGTTTTTTTTTTTTTTTTTTTTTTTTTTAAGTCGAATGCGTCATTTTTAATTAAAACGACGTCATTTTTGTAGTCGTGTGCACGGCATAATTTGCGTAAAACATCATATTGGGTCAAACGGGTTTGGCAAATCTAGTGTCCCTCATAAAAATTATTTTAGAAAATGATATACTAGCATAACTTTGAACTTTATTATTTTATTAATTAATAAAGTCATTACCAAGGACCTTGTAGTATAATGGTACCAAGTTGAACTTCCACATGAGGGATTGTGGGTTTGAGCCTCAGTTAGGGATGACAATTTCATTCCGCCTCGCGAATATCCACTCAACTCCACCCCGCATGGATCAATCGGGTTTTTTTGGGTGATGGTGGATGGTGGGTCGTGTGTGGGTCTTAAAAAAGTAAACCCGTGATGGGTCGGGTTGGATTCGGGTTCCATGTACAAAACCCGCCCACCCGACCCACCATGTGTGTGTGTGTGTGTGTGTGTGTGTGTATATATATATATATATATATATATATATATATATATAGTAAAATAAGCACTAGTATATAATTATTTATACAAGTTTATATAATTTTGTGTATCTTTTTACTATTTTTTTATATTAAAGTACTAAGTTTATTTTTAAAAATTAATTAACAATTTAGTTATTTCTAATATTTTATGTTTTAGTATCACTAATGAATTTAATTATTTTATTATGTGTAAGTAATTTAAATGTACTTTCAAAAAAAAAAAATTTAAATGTTATTTTTTAAAAAAAAATAATAAGATGATATGTGGTGGGTATCTGTAGTGGGCGCACCCGCACCCGGTGGGGTGCGGTGGGGTGGGGGTGGGGGTGGGTGGGTGGAGGAAATATAAGGTGGGTCGGGTGATGGATGTAGCCCTCCCCGACTCACACCCGACCCATTGCCATCCCTAGCCTCAGTGGAAGCACTGTGCTATTGACTCTCTGTGCTTCAGTAGGTTGAGAAAGTAGTTATGAACATATATTACATTGTAATAGAGTTAATAGTATTTAAAAAAAAATTAATAAAGACATTAAAGCTTCTTATGTTTCAGGCATCATAGTAAGAGTAAATTTTAGTTTTAATCCTATGATTATTGAAGTGTTAATTATATTACAGTCCACGAGTTTTAAAATTATCAATTTAATACCGTAATTATTTAATTTTTATCAATTTCAATCATTCCGGCCAAATTACTAACGAAAAGTAGCCAGAAATTTTTAAAGGCTAAAATGGCAAGGGCAAATTTATCTTTGAGTAAACCCGATAACTATTGACCTATATCCTCATTTCTATTACTATAGAGAAAAAGTTCCCTCCCCCTGTTTGCCCCAGTTACTCTACCAACTAACAGCCTAGAATTTAGGGATATTATACCCGCACCCGACGGGGAATCCGATTCCCCGCCTCTCCGGGGACGGGGATGGGACAGAAATAGGGGATAGGGAACGGGGATGGAGATGGGGGCAATTTTGAATTCCCCGCCGGAGACGAGGGCGGGGATGGGGAGTATTCTCCCCGCCCGTCCCCGATATATATATATATATATATATATATATATATATATATATATATATATATATATATATATATATATATATATATATATCATGGTTGCAGTAGGCGTTAGGCGCTAGTCGGGCGTCCGGACAGAGCCTAGCGCCTAGGTGGAATCTAGGCGGCGCTAGGCGGGCGACAAAAAAATAGTGGTAGACTTGCAGTTTGACAATTTTAATGAGTTTGTTTTCAACATTTAATCAAATAACACATCCAAATAAATGAATTAATGATAATTCATAAGTCATAACATCAAAACAATGGTTAAAAAAAAAATTAAAACAATATTAAAAATTAAAAATACACAAATATGAAATACTCAAATACTTCAATCATCTAAAGATTCAAAGTATCAAACTAGTCTACGAGTGTATATATGTCATATTATATATATGTATGCGCGCGCGCACACACATATATATAATAAAAAAATAGGCCGAGTCGATCGGGTTAACTCGACCGAAATGGACAAGTTAACTCAACTAATTTAGACGCTAGGCGGCCAAATCAGCCAAGTTAGGCGCTAGGCGGACGCCTAGGCGGCCGGTAACCTAGGCGGGCGCCTAGGGGGGAAATCGCCACGGTCTAGAGGCGCCTAGCGCCTAGGCGGGGCATAGGCGGGCTCCTAGACCGATTTGTATAACAAAATGCACATTATTTAGTGAAGATTGAGAGTAGAAGAGTAGGTACCGATAAAGTCAACAATTAGGCGTCCATTAGAGCAGCGGCCAGTGGCATGCTTGAAGAACGTTTCGCCGTAGGGGAGTCCCGGTGACCGGGAAGGCAAGAGCGCCGGAGAGGATGAAGTTTCTGGTATCGGCGAGCGAGTCGCCGAAGCTGAAGATTGCATTATAAGGCAAAGGGTTTTTTGAAGCCGCCGCATCAGCACGAAGCTGAAAACAAACAAAAGCTAAGAACAAGAAAACGATATTCATCATCGTCATGACTGCGTGCTAATGTTGTCAGATAGAGGATCTGAAACAACGAAAGTAGTGCTATCCCCATTGCTATATATAGCTGCAAATATTTTGTGCAAGCAGACTGTCTAAACCGCCTTCCTTCCATGCATCCGCTTTGGTGTCTGCTACTCTAATGGCGATCCCTTCCAACACACACCGCGAATATCAGAAGCAAACTGTCCCCCAGTGAAGTTGCGTGAATAGCCCTAGGCGCTTAAGATTAGTCTAACCTAAGCTGAAAGCAAAGAATGATAATGAATGTTATAGACATTATTTGCTTGACAACTTAATACAAATATAGGATTTGATGACATTTATTATGTTTAGTTTTAGATAAGTGTGAATGAATGTTATACCTCTTATTACAGGGCGTTTGGTTGGAAGGGGGGAATTATGTGGGAAAAGAATTGTAATTCCATGGGAGTTGAATTACGGGGAATAAAGTGGTAATTTAAATTCCAGTGTTTGGTTGACAGGAATAGAATTACTGGGA